CTTGCAACTACCATCATCTTCGAAACAAACTACAACTTTTAAGACGTATATTACCTGGTAAACTAGACAGAGAACAAGGACATAAAAAGCCTTAATGGCGGTTTAGGCCTAAACAGAAAGTGAGCTGATAGTGTCCCAAAAAAGCATAAACTTGGACAAAAAAGCACCTATATGCAGAATATGAAAGTTGGGAATAAGAAACATATGTTGGAGCGAACACTAGGCCCCCACAAATTGGTCTTTCCATCGACTCCGTTCATTCGATAGTGTCACATGTTAAATCAGTAAAAAAGCTCTCCTCTTTCGGGTTTGGTCCTTTACTGGGAGCCTTTATTAGAGACTTTCTGCATGACAGCAGGCAGAGTGAGGATAAATGGGATACTTTACGGATGGAAACTTGTGATGAGTGAAGTTCCACAAGAAACAATCATAGGTCCACTAATTTTCTTGTTATATTTCAACGGTTTACCAAAAATGTTCAACTGTTTGGTGCTGCTATTCGCCGATGTCAACGTTTGGAAAGCCATACGTAGTGAAGCTGGCAGGTAGGCGCTTCAAGCGGATTTGGATGAACTGGTAGGTTAGGCCACACGTTGGTGCCTGAAAATCAACTCTAATAAAAGTGCAATAATGCACGCTGGTCATAGCAATTGTTCTCAGTATTCCGTTGATGAAATACATTTGGTCCACGGCAATAATGTTTTGTGTTATTTTCTAGCCCTTCCCCCCTTACACTCTGTCACTTGATGTTCAATCAAACGGACGAGGAAACGTCTCACGTGATTGGTTGCACGAGATCGAAAAGCACTATAAAACAGAGCAAACTGAAGAACGGTTGCTTTGTTTTCATGATAAGCGACGATACCGTCTGAAGTGCTGTAACCGAAAACGAACCAGTCTTTATGGAGCGTTTTTGTCCCGCCACGTTTCCGTCTTTAGAGTCTTTGAAGGTCGCCCTAAAGGAATATGAGAAGCAGACGTACACGCACTACGTTGTGCGAGATTCGCAACTGCATGGTGACGGAAGAGCCTACGTCAAGTTTGCTTTAAGGCTGGTGGACGCCGGCCAATAGATGGTGTAGTGACGAGAATGTCAATTCTGTTTATTTTCCTGAAATGTTATTGTCGGGCGTTCTTGCTTGCGAAGCTCTTAGGTTTCTGGACAGTAACCCGGTGGCTATTAACTCACAATCATCCCTGCAATTCTCTGCTTTATGATGACAGTTGTTGGGAGCTTAAGTTGACGGGAGTTGAATTGGAGAGCATAAGGCCATTGCTCATATCCGGTACGGCTGCATTTAATGTTGTTGATCTCGTTTATGCACACTATGGTAAACGACAGAATAATCATATTTTTTGTAGCTTCGAAAATTGTTCAAATGGAGTCTATAGATACAACGTTTCACTTAGTGTCCTACCTCTTACCTCGTAAGCACAAGTGGGCTACTGCTTACCGTCCAGATGGCGTTCATTTGGAACAAAATAATACCAACCTCGTCGGAACTACACATCGTACGTTGAAGCTCCATAAGCTGTCCAGGAAAATCCAAGTACGTTGTACAATACTGAGCCTTATGCTGCGTAGCAGTTATTGGATTTAGGGGCGCATTTAAAAACTGCTGCGGGATTGCAACAACAAATATGAGCTGGGTGATCATGTTATCTTCATTTGCTAATTCCGCAACCTAACACCTGGTGGATGCTCACTTCTTAAAAGGAATACGTAAATAGAAGTTTCTACCGACAGTCATTCAGAATTCATTGTAAGGGATATCACGGAGTAGTCCTTGTTTCCCCACACCCTATAACGTGTAACTGCGGATTCAGCGTGTACAACTTGCCATACAGGCATATAATTTAGTGCTGCATGCAAAGAAATATCCCCCCAGACGCAGTTAACGTTTCTCTCCGTTGGCTGATGCAGGAGAATGAGCAGCACAATGTGCCAGTGCAGAAGTATGTTCCGCAATCAACCATATCCCTCCTCCCATCAAGAAGCCAACTTTAGATGGCGGTATTACCATACTTCACAGATAAACAGCGATTCCGTGCAGTCCTTTGGTTTATGCGAAAGATGTTGGATGGCAGGACAGCCATTCCAGTAGACGCAAGTCCAGAACATCTTGCAGGACACTGTTTACCATGTGATTCCAAAGAAGAAATGGAAGTAACCGCTGCAGCTGTAAGATGACTGTGGCAGATGGTAGAAGACCGATAACTCCACTTGAAACAAATTCGTAGTCACCTATAACAGCAATAACCAATCCATGAAATAACCTTAACGTTGATCTAGACCCTAGTATCGACGATCAAACAGGGGCTATGGAGTTGGTCACTCGTAACTATGAGGCGAAGGACCATGTAGATACAAACGAAGAGGAGGATTATGTCTACAGAGGAGTTTGTGAGGTATGTTTCCTAAGCGATGCACCAACCTCCATTCCCCATGGCGGCACATGGATAGCATGTCGTCACGCAACATCCCATATATTCTGCGCATGGAATCCACACCCAAGCAGCTTTTGTTTAGAATGCCCTGCGTGTGGAGGTAATCCCTAGCAGAAAGGTAATGTCGATGATAACTAAAGGACTTTCGTAAAATACAGGTAATTTGCATCTTTGACTCCCACAGCTGCACTCACTTCACTTTCAGATAAACTGCACCAGAAGTGAATTTCTACTTCACGACAGGAAGTGGACGAACAAGAGCCCTTCTCGGGGCCATCCCAGATGTGATTCGAATGACTTCTTCCGTTTTTAAAAAATAAATTATGAATGACTATTCATGTTTAATTACTTCACTTATCAACCGAATGAATATCTTAAGGAATAGTAGACCGTTAAGAGATGTAGAACAAAGAATTATAACTAAATATTAGGCAAATAAGGTTCGGATAATTGAAAAGTCGAAGTATATATACCTATAAAAGGCCTTGGTGAAAGGTAAAGTCACGTCCCATTGTATTTATTCATTTAAATGTACTTGCGGTCAGCTATAGCTAAGAGTAGCTACAATTAAGAAAAAAACAGGAGCTTTGCGTTTCTGAATGTCCCCATCTCCATTCATTTCCTAAATATTATCAACTACTTCTTTCCATAAGCACTTCGACTTACAAGTCATCCATTCATTGATATTTGTAATGTTACCCAGCTCGTTATTCAGACAAGTTACGCGTTGCCTTCGTAGTATAGGTCGCATTCCGTGGTGTCACCACGTGAGTAATGCAGAAGTCAGGTGTGGAGTTTTAGGGAGAAGAGAAAGTCAGTTGACGAGGTTGTGAACCTTCATCGACTGAGATGGTTGGGACACGTACTACGTATGCCTAGTCACCGATTGCCTTGTCACACAATGTTGGCTGAAGTAGGTCCAGGCTGGAAAAAGACCCGAGGTGGCCAGACTAAAACATGGCACCAATGTATGAATTCTCTGGCTGTTGATTTAAGCCATGGGAGGAGATGCAGACTAGGTGGTTGGGGTCGGCGGGACAAGAGAAACCAGTGGTTGGAGACTCTAGGTGATATGGCTGAGAACCGATGTCAGTTGCCTAGATGTTTACACACATCATTCTCATCTTAACGATGTTATACCGAATCTCATTATTTTCTCATTCTTCCTGTTTCTCTTTTGTACTTTATATTTCTTTTGGCTGGATTTTCTTATCTTCATTTTGCGCCTCACTGCCCTTTTACTTGATGAACTGATATGAGGTGTGACAACCCAGACCGTTACGCAGTAATGTCTGGCCCTATATTGATATTGATGGTGATGAAGGTGAATTTGTTTTTTTCCCATCATGTAGCCAACGACTGGTACTCCTCATCCTGACAAATAGTATCAGCACCTGTCAACGCGTTCAGGGAGAAACGAGATTTTCGGAGATATCTTCTGCAAGAATTAACAGACTAACAGACTTACTACTCTCATAACTGAAAACCGTCTTCTCTCCCACAGGATGACGTCAGGCAAAGCAGTTAGTTTTGCTAATAGCTCGAGTAGAAGTTGCTCGGCAAATTTCTGTATGAAACTACTGTGGCCATGAGATAAGTTAAGTGACTCCTTTGTGGGCAGCCTGAGGCGATTGGAATTACAGAAACTGGGTACTGCAGATCTGCAGTTTCTGTTATCATCCACATGTGGATGGCATACTGCAATATGCTAAACTGACCACAACCCACTTAAAAGTCCTTTATTGTACCAATATAATAGTCTAAAAATCATTCGGAATGTTAGCCAACCTAATTAATTAAGCATACACATGTTATACCCTCAAATTACAAAATGGGCCAACACAGGGTTAGCACCTCAACCAGCACTTACTTTGGGTGCTCTTTGGAACTTTCGGGTTTCACTCGAAGCTACTTCGGGCGCACTTAGCAACTTTTGGGTATTCCCCCTAAATTTCACTTGACCGCTAACATTCTATTGACTTCTATAACACAGACACATATAGCACATAAACGTCAAATATTCAGATCAAAATATTACGGATTAGGCCTTCTTATCACTTGGGATATGGGTTATTACAAATTTCCGGGCGCACTAGACACTTTGGGCGCATTGCAGAAACTTTCAGAGAAAAGGTTTGGAACATTTGGGGGATACTGTACGTCGCCCGATATGTGCCCGAAGTAGAATTTCCGGTTTTAGCCCGAAACTCACAATGTGCGCCCGAAGCTAATGCTGGCTGGGATGTGCTAACCCGGAACCGAGCCAAATTTACAAGACCTGATTGAACCAAAGACCCACTAACAGGTAAATCAAAAAGCCTATCTAGCCTTTTTGGATCTAAATGGAGACAATAAAGCACTAATCACGTGTCTCTAAACTTGACCACACAGACATCCATGTTTTCAGATGCTGACTGAGCTATTTATTATTAGCTCGACCTAGACGAAACCAACCACGTAAAGGACTTCTGAAAAAGCTATGTACCATGCACCTATTTACTTCGCATTTATTCATAGCCTGCACAAGGCAAAATGTAACACTATTGACTAACCTCCTACGGCCCTAATGTAGTGGGTAATAAACATTTCAAACCGCAATTGAACACTAACCTCCAATATCCAATATCACGTTACGAGCTAGTACAAGCTAATTGGTTTCTTCGTGCTCGCTTGTAGGTCTTGCGGAACGGTTCCAGGTCTTTGGTGAATTCCGGTGCAGTAGGTCTACCCACTCGACTGCTGTAGCTCTGGTTAGCCCATCGGGGCGGTTGGGTGTTGGCTAAATTTGTAGGAAGTATGTGTTGTTGTGTTCTTTTCCAAGGACTGTGGTGCAGATGGGTTCCTCAAGCGTCGTGCCAGCAGACAACTGATCGGACTGGTTTTAAAAAGGAGATGGAAAATGTGTCCAGAAAAATCAAGGGAGAGAAAGTGCCAAGAAAAATAAACAATTTAAAAAAACGAGTGGGAAGAAATAAACGGTACGGTAGAAGAAACATTGGTAGATTCACGGGAGAGAAGTGATGGGGAGGGCTTTTAATAAAGTGTAAGAACCTAAAGTCAGTAGGAAGAGAAGGATAAATTTACATTATAGGACGGCTTACAGGAAAAGAGTTAGTAATTCTATTAATAGGAGGCGGTAACTGAAGAGGACGTCTATAGGAAAGTATAAGGTTGAGCCAAGTTCGCAGTGATAGTGGTGTTACAACGTATTCAATCATTGGTTGGCCGTACTGAGTTAGCAGGTCATGTCAGCCCAGTCCATACCCAAGCTGGATGAGCGCAAGCCGTGCGTCGCTGCGTAACTGTCCAACCTCTTCTTGAAGCTGTCAACAGAGGGAGCAGTAGCGATCTCAGTAGATAATGCGTTTCAGCGGCCGCAAACTCGCAGGGAGAAGTGTGAACGCACTCTGGTTTTCGCAATTTGGTGGGCGGTTCTCCTCTGGTTACTACGAGAATCGCCACAGTGGCCGTTCGGTAGGATCCCACCGTTCGAATGACTTGGGTCACTTAGTATTTTGTAAGCCGTTATCAAGTCAACGCGTAGCCGATGGTAGTTAGGAGAGTAGCGTCCTAGATCTTTCAGTCTGTTCTCACGAGGTTTTCGCCGCATTCCCACGACACCCTTTGTAGCTTTCCTTTGCACTTTCTCTAGGAGGTTCAGATCTCCCTTCGGATATGGTAGTGCAATGATGTTTTAGACCTCTAAGTGAGATCGTATGCAGGTCTTGTACAGCTTCAAAAGTAGTTCTGATGTCAGGGAACCTAGCTGACTGTGCATGAAGCGCAGTACTGTGTAGGCTCTGGAGGCGTCTCTTAGATAATTTGAGCTAGCGTCCAGCTTGTCAGTCAGTATTAGTCTAGATATTTCTCTGTGGTGGTGTGGGAAAGTTGCATTTTATAGGGATAATAGGGTACGTTCTGAGAATCAAAGGTGCTGAGAAACAGCTCGAAATTTATCCGGATTAAATCCCAGGTCAATAACATCCGCCAACTCTGCAAATAATCTGAGATCACATTGCAGTGCACTTGATTCTGTTTCGGACGTCACAGCTCCTCATAACTCAGCACCATCAGCGTAAGATAGGAGTGCGAAGGTGAGATTCTGTGGGAGGTCGTTCACAAAAAGAGGGAACAGCGGTGGACCCAGAATCAATGCAGTGAAACACTAGATGATGCTCTCTTCCAAGTCCAGCAAACTCTGTTAGCTTTTCTGCTGAATTGTATGTCATCTAAATAGTCCTGTAGCCAGTAGAGCACTTGACCCATGATGTCCAACCTTGATGTCTCATAAACAAGACTGTGGTACCGGACTGTGTCGAAAGCCTTAGAGAAATCCAGGAAAATGACTTGAACAGGAATTTGAAAGTCCCGACAAGCCGTTCACTTATCGCCGGCCGCCAGAATGTTTGATGCGCAGGATCTACCCTTTCCGAAGACATGTTGAGCATAACTTAGTGCTCCCCTCTTTTCCAACTACTCTCTGACATGGTCGTCCACTGGGCTGTCCACTACTTTTCACACCACTGGTAGGAGGGCTATGGGATGATAGCATTTCGGATTCTGCCTGTCTCCTCCATTGAAGATGGGAAACAGAATGGCACGTTTTCACCCTCGTGGAAGCATGTGAATGTCTAAGGAGTTTTAAAGCAGATAACGGGGTGGACTGCATAAGGCACCCGTGCGTTATTTCAACAGCCGGCGGGACGCCGCTGCACCCTGGTGATTTCCCTACACGGAGCTTTGATAGCTTTTCGAGCACCATAGCAGGAGTTACCCTTATTCCATGCAACTCTACCGCATTCGGTCGTGCTGAATACCGCTCGGGAAGTTGGCAGTTTTGGTTGGACGGAGACATGTTCGATTGCTTGTCGAGGGCGGCCTTAAAGGCTTCGGTAATCTCTAGTCCAAAGAGGTTCTCCCCGTTCAGACCTTCCAGGGTGCAAGCCCATCGGCCGGTGGATTTTCTGCCTGCCACAAATCGACACAAGTTTCTGGGGTTCGCCTCGAGCTCCTGGGTAAGGTGCGTCTGGAACCACCTCCTCTCTTGCCTCACTTTGACGTGGCATCGATTTCTTGGGGTCACATACGTGGCGTGGTCAGACTCTTTCCTGGAGCTCCTCCACTTATGCCATGTTTTCCTGTTGGCTTTCAAACGGTGTTCAGTGCTTCGCTGCAGCCATGAGGTTCGCTTCCGCGGTATTGCTGTGTTTACGGGGACGTTTTCAGAGGTATCCATCTTGATGATATCTCTGAAGCGTTCCCAGTGTTGATCGGTCGACAGGTTGCTCCACTTCCGAGGCAATGGTGCTGCCGACAGGTATTGGTTCATCGCCACGTAGATGGCCTTGCTGTAGCAAAGACAGGAGCGAGATCTCTCCCATGGCAGTTGTTCGTCGAATACCGGGTCGAGCACTACCATGTCGCGATCGCTGCTGTCAAGGGGACTTTGAACCTGAACGCTTTCAGTCAGTGGGTGGTTGCTGGTAAAAAGGTAGTCTAGTTTGGACGGTTTTCCTCCCGACCCCCAACTAGTGTCATCGCCAATAGTCACGTGCAGTCCGGCCTTTTGAATAGTGTTGTGTATGTTTCGGCAGGACCTTCGGCCCGAGGTTCCCCTGTCCTGCCCAAGATTGAGAGTTGGTGCATTAAAGTCACCGGCTGGTCGTATCCCATGGACGTTGCTCCGGGCATTACTCGCAGCTGTTGCTGGTTATGTTCCACGTTGCTACCGGGTACTTGGCGCGTCCAATAGTAAAGTGACTCCAGATAGAGTTTGTGAGCCCTAAAAGCAGAGTTTCAGTTGCCCGTTCACTTTTAGGATAGTCTCTTATAAACAACGCCACTCCACCTCCTTCCTTAAACTCCTGAACAGGTGCATGCCATCCATACTAGTTTCGATGTCACATCCAGTGATAACCAAGCTTCTGTCAGGATCATGATCTTTGGAGCAAGGCAGGGACAGAGACCGCGAGTCCCCCATCTTGCTTCTAATAGCCTTCACATTACTGTAAAGACACTCGGATGCGTCTCTAACGTGGGGTGTCTTGGTGGCGGAAGACTGAAGGGGGTTGTGCACAACGGCGAAACTTGCTACAAGATGACCAGCTCCAATGGAACCAACCCAATCACTTTTTTCCGACAGTGGTTTCTGGGGATTTTGTAGAATCTAGGCTGGTTCGGATGTCTTATCTGTCGACAGTGACTATGACTTCAACATTAGACGGGACTGTCGTTTGCCGTTGTCACAGTGTCCCTGGCCTGCTTTCACACCAACGAACGCTCCTGCTGATGCCGTCTTTTGCTGCTCACTGAGTTTGCAATACTTTGGTTAAAAGGTCCTCACACGCGACGTTAAAAGCCATCAACCTGTGGGATGTTATCGTCGTCAAATATGAGGGACGTGACAATCCGCAGACCACCACCACCGCTATCCCATTCAACCCCATTCTGGCTGAAAACCACTGCGATTAATAAATAAATAAATAAATGTTTTATTCTCGCGTTAAAAAAAGTTTACCATGAGAGAAGCCAGTTTGCAGGCTTCATCACGTTGATACACCTCAAAATATCTACAAGACTTGAGCCCTGAGTGGTATTGGAGGAATGTCGTTAAACTCAATCAAAAATTGCCGAAGGTCCTGCTAGTTATGAAACGAACAAGGAAATATTACTTTACAACGTACATGGAATGTTAAAGTTAAGATAATGATAAATATTGTCTTCATTTAACGAGTTAAACATGAGGGATACCAGTTTACCAGCACCATCGAATTCGTAGCTTTGAAGGTATCTAGTATTAAATAATTTACATATCAAGTCATTAGCGTGCATAATCTTATTAAAATTTACTGAAATTCATGAGACAGATATAGATTCCCATCTCCCATCACATAGATAGGTCCCACTATCAATATCAAAAGCGCGCAGTGTTCAAAGTTTGCGTTATAACCAACCGAGGTTGTTGGTCCATTCGCATAGTTTACTGATTAGTAATGTATCAGCCTATCACTTAGAATGATCTTCAGTTTTTAGCTTTGCCAACCACAAAGGACCCATTTATACAATCCGGAGTATCAATAAAGTATCCACAGTCATATGACCAACGTGTTTGGCTATATGAATTCATCTCCAGGTCACCATGTTACGTTTAAAGGTCATACAGATTAATTCTGCTGGGGATACTTGTTGTGTTGGATGAAAATAGATGTTGAAACAGTCAGTGGTCCAAGTGGCAGTATTTATAAATAGACTTCGGGTATCTTTTGTATTAGCATAGGCGGCATCATCAGAGAAGTGTATTTGATGAGTGTCTAGAGTACACCAAGCCTCAGCGATAAATATTAGGCAGGAATTAGACATAGTCGACGACATAGTGATCTCACTTAGTTTGTTGCGTATGGAACAAGAGTTAATCAGACAGAAGGTTAAAGAATTGGATAGGCAGTAGTACCTAAACCTGTTTTCGGAAAGCATTTTCTCGCAGGTTAGTTGGAACTGTAGCAGTGAGGAAAATGGGATAGAACTTAATTTCATGGACGTAATGGGGGAATAAGATACTACTGGGTCACTACAAATACCCTTTAATG